TATTAGCTCGTGGTGCTTCGCTGTGTTTTGCTCACTTATGTCGACTACCTGGGCAGACCAAGCTAGCAGCTAGCAGCTCTGTGATTGGTCGGCAGCTGTGACGGACATAGTTGCATTCAAGGTGTGTGGGAAACCCAAGGATCCCGGCAGTGACGAGAACAAGGAGCTAGTTATCATAGCAAATGTATCCTGGAAAACAAGCTCATACTCAATACATCCAAAACAAAAAGCACAAATCATTCTCTAAGGCACGAGCCAGAGATGAAACTCTTAATAACACAACTACTGAGAAAGTTAAAGAAACTAAACTAATGTGAACCACCCCGGACAACAATCATTGAACTGATGTCGATAAAATGAGGAGGTCAATCACTGTAGAAAGGTGATGCAGATTATACTGTACTTAGCTTTCCTCTCGCTCCTGAACTCATATATTAATTATTCCATAAGTATTATCACCTTTTCTTGTTTTTTTAATGCAGCATTAGGTGTTTCAGACCAAACCGTTCTGGGACTTTTTGAAGAGGAACTATCCACATAGAGAGTTCCCTCAGAACTACACACCATGGGGACTTTTTGGGGTCTGTATTCGCACCACCATGGTACCCAGAAAGTTCCTCTAATCGGGGTTGTAGGATCTAAAATAGGTCTTAGTTCCTCTGGTGCAGAATTAATGAAAACGGAGGAGGGTTCCAACGGTTCCTAGAACTATGATAAAGTTCCTGCGTTCCGAATACGGCGATTATCGATTAACAAAAAGGCTTTTAAAATGTTGAATTGAAATGATTGCAAAATAAATATAAATACCAAACTGACCAGAAACCCACATTCCAAAAATATATTTAACAATTTGAAATTATTAAAAACTAAAAAAATTAGAAATAGATTTTTTTAAATTAATTTTTAATTTTTAATTAAATTAAATTAAAAATTGAAGATTAAAAAATAAAAATAAAAATACAAAATGAGCCTAAATTACATTTTATTCATTAATTTTTTAGTGAGACTCTTATCAATGCAAAACTCTGTCAGTAATTTAGAGAGTCTAAAGGAACTTCTTTCTGAGACTGACCAAACTGCTACAGAATTCAACTTCAAAAAAATCTACATTTGTGAATATAGAATTAACCCATAATAAAATAATTCAACCTCTGTGTTCTGCTAAAGTAAGTACAATTAAAACATGTAATACACCTGTAATATGAGATGACTGTGCCCTTCATGTGATCAGACAGGTCAAAATAATAATGAATTCAAGTTAAATTGGGTATTTCTGTCACAAAGAGCTGCTGCTGTGTCTACAGGATGACAAAGGTGCTGCTGCTGACAGCAAGCAAGACTGGAACGCATGGCTTGTTGGTTAAACGCTGTGATTGGCTGACGCTCATGTCCGTCAGAATTCTCCTCGTTGTGATTGGCTGCTGTGCGTGTTCGTCAACCCGCCGCGGCGCTGATGTTGTTGTGTTGAAGGCGGGCTCACAGTGAGCAGCAGAGAGGAGCGGCTCGGTGCGGAGTGACACGGCGTTATCTTTTACATGATTAAAACACTAAACAAAGAGGAATACTCACTCGGATCCACAGAAACACCTCTGAAACATCCAGTCCGTCATGGAGTCTTATGACATTTTAGCTAACCAGCCGGTGGTGATCGATAATGTAAGTATGATGATGTCATTCATCCACACCCTAAGCCGAGGCCGCTAACTGTTAGCTCGCTGAACTCTTGTGTTATAACGGTAGTTAGTGATAAACATGTCTAAAACCTTCAGTTTGCTTTTCTTACTGCACATTAAACTTACAAACATCTCTCCAGCAGCTAACATCTCTCCAGCAGCTAACATCTCTCCAGCAGCTAACATCTCTCCAGCAGCTAACATGTATCCAGCGCTAGCTAAAGCTGCAGCTAGCTTTCAGCACTAACCGGCTAGCTTAGCTCCAAACTGTCAGCTAGCTTATTATGACAGATCAGACCGTGTCCATAAAGCTAACCAGCTAACCAGCTGACCAGCTGACCAGCTAACCAGCTGACCAGCTAACCAGCTGACCAGCTGACGTACAGAAGTGTTAGCTTCCAGCAGCATGTGAGAGACCTGGAGCTGTCTGTGTTTCCAGATGTATTGTTAGCATAAACAGGGTTAGCATGTTGGTCACAGGACACACACACACACACACACACACACACACACACACACACACACACACACACACACACACACACACACACACACACTCCATCAGTATTAACTCATCCATTCACACACTGATGGTAGAGGCCGCTGAGTAAAGAGTCCATCAGTATTAACTCATCCATTCATACACATTCACACGCTGATGGTAGAGGCTGCTGAGTAAAGAGTCCATTAGTATTAACTCATCCATTCATACACTGATGGTAGAGGCTGCTGAGTAAAGAGTCCATTAGTATTAACTCATCCATTCATACACTGATGGTAGAGGCTGCTGAGTAAAGAGTCCATTAGTATTAACTCATCCATTCACACACTGATGGTAGAGGCTGCTGATTAAAGAGTCCATTAGTATTAACTCATCCATTCATACACATTCACACGCTGATGGTAGAGGCTGCTGAGTAAAGAGTCCATTAGTATTAACTCATCCATTCATACACTGATGGTAGAGGCCGCTGAGTAAAGAGTCCATCAGTATTAACTCATCCATTCATACACATTCACACGCTGATGGTAGAGGCTGCTGAGTAAAGAGTCCATTAGTATTAACTCATCCATTCATACACTGATGGTAGAGGCTGCTGAGTAAAGAGTCCATTAGTATTAACTCATCCATTCATACACTGATGGTAGAGGCCGCTGAGTAAAGAGTCCATTAGTATTAACTCATCCATTCACACACTGATGGTAGAGGCTGCTGATTAAAGAGTCCATTAGTATTAACTCATCCATTCATACACATTCACACGCTGATGGTAGAGGCTGCTGAGTAAAGAGTCCATCAGTATTAACTCATCCATTCATACACTGATGGTAGAGGCTGCTGAGTAAAGAGTCCATTAGTATTAACTCATCCATTCATACACTGATGGTAGAGGCCGCTGAGTAAAGAGTCCATTAGTATTAACTCATCCATTCACACACTGATGGTAGAGGCTGCTGATAAAGAGTCCATTAGTATTAACTCATCCATTCATACACATTCACACGCTGATGGTAGAGGCCGCTGAGTAAAGAGTCCATCAGTATTAACTCATCCATTCATACACATTCACACGCTGATGGTAGAGGCCGCTGAGTAAAGAGTCCATCAGTATTAACTCATCCATTCATACACATTCACACGCTGATGGTAGAGGCCGCTGAGTAAAGAGTCCATCAGTATTAACTCATCCATTCATACACATTCATACGCTGATGGTAGAGGCTGCTGAGTAAAGAGTCCGTCAGTATTAACTCATCCATTCATACACATTCACACGCTGATGGTAGAGGCCGCTGAGTAAAGAGTCCATTAGTATTAACTCATCCATTCACACACTGATGGTAGAGGCTGCTGATTAAAGAGTCCATTAGTATTAACTCATCCATTCACACACTGATGGTAGAGGCTGCTGATAAAGAGTCCATCAGTATTAACTCATCCATTCACACACTGATGGTAGAGGCTGCTGAGTAAAGAGTCCATTAGTATTAACTCATCCATTCACACACTGATGGTAGAGGCTGCTGAGTAAAGAGTCCATTAGTATTAACTCATCCATTCACACACTGATGGTAGAGGCTGCTGAGTAAAGAGTCCATAGTATTAACTCATCCATTCACACACTGATGGTAGAGGCCTGAGTAAAGAGTCCATCAGTATTAACTCATCCATTCACACACTGATGGTAGAGGCTGCTGAGTAAAGAGTCCATCAGTATTAACTCATCCATTCACACACTGATGGTAGAGGCTGCTGAGTAAAGAGTCCATCAGTATTAACTCATCCATTCACACACTGATGGTAGAGGCTGCTGAGTAAAGAGTCCATCAGTATTAACTCATCCATTCACACACTGATGGTAGAGGCTGCTGAGTAAAGAGTCCATCAGTATTAACTCATCCATTCACACACTGATGGTAGAGGCCGCTGAGTAAAGAGTCCATCAGTATTAACTCATCCATTCACACACTGATGGTAGAGGCTGCTGAGTAAAGAGTCCATTAGTATTAACTCATCCATTCACACACTGATGGTAGAGGCCGCTGAGTAAAGAGTCCATCAGTATTAACTCATCCATTCACACACTGATGGTAGAGGCCGCTGAGTAAAGAGTCCATCAGTATTAACTCATCCATTCACACACTGATGGTAGAGGCTGCTGAGTAAAGAGTCCATCAGTATTAACTCATCCATTCACACACTGATGGTAGAGGCTGCTGAGTAAAGAGTCCATCAGTATTAACTCATCCATTCACACACTGATGGTAGAGGCCGCTGAGTAAAGAGTCCATCAGTATTAACTCATCCATTCACACACTGATGGTAGAGGCCGCTGAGTAAAGAGTCCATCAGTATTAACTCATCCATTCATACACATTCATACACTGATGGTAGAGGCTGCTGAGTAAAGAGTCCATCAGTATTAACTCATCCATTCATACACATTCATACACTGATGGTAGAGGCTGCAGAGTAGAGAGTCTGTCAGTATTAACTCATCCATTCATACACTGATGGTAGAGGCTGCTGAGTAGAGAGTCCATCAGTATTAACTCATCCATTCATACACATTCAGACACTGATGGTAGAGGCTGCTGAGTAGAGAGTCTGTCAGTATTAACTCATCCATTCATACACATTCACACGCTGATGGTAGAGGCTGCTGAGTAAAGAGTCTGTCAGTATTAACTCATCCATTCATACACATTCATACGCTGATGGTAGAGGCTGCTGAGTAAAGAGTCTGTCAGTATTAACTCATCCATTCATACACATTCACACGCTGATGGTAGAGGCCGCTGAGTAAAGAGTCTGTCAGTATTAACTCATCCATTCATACACATTCATACGCTGATGGTAGAGGCTGCTGAGTAAAGAGTCTGTCAGTATTAACTCATCCATTCACACACTGATGGTAGAGGCTGCTGAGTAAAGAGTCCATCAGTATTAACTCATCCATTCACACACTGATGGTAGAGGCTGCTGAGTAGAGAGTCTGTCAGTATTAACTCATCCATTCACACACTGATGGTAGAGGCTGCTGAGTAAAGAGTCCATCAGTATTAACTCATCCATTCACACACTGATGGTAGAGGCTGCTGAGTAGAGAGTCTGTCAGTATTAACTCATCCATTCACACACCTTCACACACTGATGGTAGAGGCTGCTGAGTAGAGAGTCTGTCAGTATTAACTCATCCATTCACACACATTCACATTGTTTGAATTCCTGTGAATACAATGCTAACTTCCTGTTAGTGCTAACAATACATGACACGATACCACAGCAACAGAAATAGAAATCCTATGCTCCTACAATTGCAGGCAAAGTCCTGCACACTGACTAAATTGCACAAATACCCATGTCTTTACCCATGGTTCTCAACTGGTGGTTCGAGACCCACGAGTGGGGCCGCAAAGTGGTCTTCAGTGGGCCACAGATTGTGTTCCAGGGGAAATTGCTGCCAAAAGTCTTAGCTGTGCTTTATTATGAAGAACATGTGCAGTAGGGTTGTTAACTCATACTCAGTAGGAGGAAGTGATGCACGTTAATGCTGGTCATCTGCCATTAAACAACAAGAGAAGAAGAATGCAAACTATAAAGTTTATGCTGCCAGTTACGTGGTGTAATGTTAGCATGACACAGAAAACGTGCTTTCTTACATCGAGGACAAAAAAGGACCAACAGAAATCTGAGTGCGGCGGTGATGTCATCAAAACTGAATCGCGTTAGAAACGAAACACGCCGCTCATAAAGACGTCTGTTGTTCTGTCAGGTTTTCTCACGTTAACACGCTGTGATAGTTTGTTACTTCTCTCCAAACTGAAAACATTTTTCCAATAAATGGATTTTAATGGTTGAAAAATTCAGAAATGTTGGTGGCGATTTGGCGATTCCGGTGTCGCTGTGTCTCCTGAGGCGAGAGCAGTTCAGAACCACTGGTGTAAAATTGCACAGATATGTTGGCAACATTTCTTCTTTGTAGAATTTCAGACCGTGTGCAGGAGTTTGCCTGCAATCTTAAATAATTAAGAACAAGAAATTACCAAATATTGGGTTGACTTCTATTAGTGTTGCTGTGGTAACGCACAGGTTTCAAACATGCTTTTTACTAAAATCTTATTGAACTTGAAAGATTCTGGTATGATGACTAATCTCCTGTTATTAACACTCTGCACCATAATCACATCTTACCTGAATAACATATGAAACTGTGTTTGTTTGGTTATTTATTTAAAATGTTATGAAGGCAGAGAATCTGATGGGCCTCAGACCGGCTCCTCCTCAGTACCCATTTCCTCGTCTTCCATCAATGAATGATCGAATGGACGTAGCAGAGACTTTAGCACAGCACCTACTGTTCTAACTTCATGTTCTCCTCACAAGTCATGACAGTGCAGGACAAAGTGGCTTTTGAGATGGGGGGGATGTGGGGCACAGGGTGTGACTGCTGGTGGCCTCCGGCTGTGTCTTATGACCTCCTCTCTGCTCACAGATGAAGATACTCAGTCTCTCTGATGTTACATGTTCTATCTGTCTTCTTGTGAAAAATATGTGCTCAATAAGAGCTGTAGAAAGTGGAGACAAGAAAACATATTTATGTTTTCATTTCATTGTACAGTGTTCCCTTTGTTATTTTTTGTATTATATCTTTGCTTTAATACAGTGTATAACTTCTGTACAGTTTAATTTACTTAGTTGTTACTACAACTTATTTTTAAATTTCATTTGTACTTTTCTACTCTTTTTTTCTTATAATGCTATTCTATTTTATATATATATATATTTTTTTTAAAGATTTATTTTGGGCTTTTCGTGCCTTTAATGCAGAGAGAGGACAGTGGACAGAGTCAGAAACCAGAGAGAGAGAGAGGACAGTGGACAGAGTCAGAAACCAGAGAGAGAGAGGACAGTGGATAGAGTCTGAAACTAGAGAGAGAGAGGACAGTGGATAGAGTCAGAAACCAGAGAGAGAGAGGACAGTGGATAGAGTCAGAAACCAGAGAGAGAGAGGACAGTGGATAGAGTCTGAAACCAGAGAGAGAGAGGACAGTGGATAGAGTCTGAAACCAGAGAGAGAGAGGACAGTGGATAGAGTCTGAAACCAGAGAGAGAGAGGACAGTGGATAGAGTCTGAAACCAGAGAGAGAGAGGACAGTGGACAGAGTCAGAAACCAGAGAGAGAGAGAGAGGACAGTGGATAGAGTCAGAAACCAGAGAGAGAGAGAGGACAGTGGACAGAGTCAGAAACTAGAGAGAGAGAGGACAGTGGATAGAGTCTGAAACCAGAGAGAGAGAGGACAGTGGATAGAGTCAGAGAGAGAGCGGGGAATGACATGTGGAAAGGGGCCACGTGTGGAAGCGAACCCGGGCCTACCGCTCAAGACGAGAGTCTCAATACATGGGACGTGCACCCTAACCACTGCGCCACCAGTGCGCCCCTATATTATATATAATTTGAACTTTTTGTAGAAGCTGACTCAGGGAGAAACGCACAAAAAGTCCAATGTACCTGTACTGTCCTGTACCTGTGCAGATGGCAATAAACATCTATTCTATTCTTCTCCAGGGCTCGGGGGTTATCAAGGCTGGCTTTGCAGGAGACCAGATCCCCAAATACTGCTTCCCTAACTAGTAAGTGTTTGTCCTCCTTCAGCACTCCGATCACCGGGAAACATTTCTACATCCACAGATCTTCTGCTTATCTGATCCAGATTCTCTTTATCAGCACGATAAACTTTAGTTTAGCAGCAGGAGCTCACAGAATATCAACGATGAAATCAAAAGCTCATACACAAATGGTCAGCAGGTTAAGGAGGTAGTTTGGTTTGCTGAGGGTAGCTAACATTAGCGGTGCTAACAGCCTTCAGTCCTCGCTGGAGGTTAACGTGCTGGTTTATCCTGACAGCCTACAAACTACTTCATCTTTGTTTTATAGATCTAAATACTGACAAACCGCTCGGCTCCTACGAGATGCTATCTGCTCACTGTTCACTTGTTTACATCAGGGTAGCAGAGCGAGAAGAGCAGGGCATAGAGTCTGTGGCTACAGCCCCGACTAGTGGAGGGAGGCTGCGTTACAGTTTAAGTACAACATGTGATCGACATCGTATTTCAACTTATTTATGATCTGCTTAACTGGCTCGTAGTTTTGTTGCTGAGTAGTCGACTAAACGCACACATCCATAAATATAACGGACCAGAAACTTGAGATAATTACAAATTGAAAATTGTCAAACATTTCTCAAACATGAATAATCAGCACTTATTTAAAACAGGAAGCTGGATGAAGCAAACTTTTCAAATATTTATTTTGTGTGTTTTATTGACTTTTGTGTGTGTGTGTGTGTGTGTGTGTGTCTCTGTGTGTGTGTGTGTGTGTGACAGTGTGGGGCGTCCCAAGCATGTGCGTGTGATGGCAGGAGCCCTGGAGGGAGACCTCTTCATCGGACCCAAGGCAGAGGTAACACACACACACACATGTAAAGTTTGAGATAATCTCATAGAAGAGTTCCTATTGGATCAAACTTTGATGATATCGTTTCCTCTGGTTCGGCACGGTTTTCTCTGCTGCTGCTCGACACAGTTTTCTATTTTTTTGGGCAAACATGAAAGTTAAAACAACCTGTAAGTCACTGTAGGCCCAAGAAGCCAATGACATCAACTAGGAAGCTTTAGCTCCACTTTCTAATCACATTATTCTTCTTCGTCTTTGAGAATAGCTCTGTGTTAGCGAGCCCTTAGAGCTCCTCCAGTGATCTCCTTCCTGTATTGGACTGAATCAGTTTATTGCCATACTTAAAGATCAGCAGAGCTCAATACAACATTTATAAAAACATCCTCTTGCAATGTCACTTCTGTTCCTGGCTTTTTTTTTTCATGGCTGTTGCTCTGCAAAATCTCTGATTGGTTTTTTCTTCAGATAGATTCAAATAGAAATTAGCAGAGCAGCAGTTGCTGCCTTCCTAGCTTGAAGGCTAAGACGCTTTCTGCACTCTACACAGAGGGTGTGTTTGAATTGTCCCTCCTATCTCCTTCACTATCCACTTCACCTTAACCCGGGGAAAACGTCATGAGGTCAAGGAAAGATGTTAGGAGAAGTCATAAAGGACTTAGGGAAAGGCACTTTGCTCTGACAATCCGACCACATTTCCACTAGGCCACATCATTAAATGTGACGGGCCGGCGGAGGTTAATGACGTGGGTCTGACGTGTTGAAACTACAATGTTCAGATAATGAACTACAAAAAGATCATCTAAAAAACTCTTTCTGTGCTTCTTACCGGTGAAATAATCCTGATCACCACGAGGTTGGGATTGAAATAAAAGAAATATAGACTACCAGGCTACAAGTAAGAAAAGTGAAACCATCAGCTTCCTGTCCAATCAGAAATCAACATCAACATCAATATGATTGGATGAAATGAATTGTTACATTAATGTAAGATATAACCTACACATAATGTTTGAAACATACAAATATACAGCAGCACAAAGCAAGAGAATGAAATCTGTTGAATCAAACATCCTCTGATAAAAATGTCTCTTATCTTTTATCTCTTTACGATCATCGTTCATGTTCCTGAACGGTCGGATGAGCGACTCGCTTTAAATGTTGTGGGGCGTCATATCTCATCTCCTTTCCTAAAGGATGGTCCAGTGTATCCTAAAGGAGGTTATAAAGGAAGCATTGACCCACCTTTCCTTAACTTTTAGAGAATTCAAACGGCTCTTATCATGGCCGCCACTGAAATGCTTCCGGGGTTAAAGGTGAAGTGGATCGTGAGAGGAGACAGGAGGGACAATTCAAACGCACCCTCAGTCT